ATTAAGGGGATGCATCGATGCATGAAAATTCGAAGCCATTTTGTGTATCGATGCACCTATAGTGCATCGATGCACCCCTAAGGAAAAATGTGAATATGGGTTTATTAAGTTCGTTTAAGTTGCTAGTATCAAATTACAAGGTGTATGTATCTAATAATTGTCTTGAAAATGTATAATTATGTAGATTCAAAGCCTGAACGAGTTCCAGAATCATTGTCAAGTAAGATCGATCAAAGGGAAAGATAAGAGATTGGAATTGACTAGTGAGGCCAGGTGAGTGCATATTCAATAGCATATGATGGGTGATGGGTGATGGGAAGAAGACTTGCGATGAGTCTATTTCCTGAAGAGTTACATATGAATTCATGATTAAAGGCATAAGTTGAATATGAGTGTATGTATGCTTGATTATATGAATTGATATGGTTTGTATGTGCTATGTGGTTTATGTACACACACTAGTAAGTGTTAATAAGAGAATATCAAATAAGTTATGAAATTATATAAATATAGAAGATAAGTCAAGAGATATAGGGAAATGGAAATAGAGGTTTATGAAGAATCATAGGAGAATAAATATAAGTAATAAGACAATGAAATATAAGACTATGTGAAATACATGGTTATGAGAATTAGTAAAATAGAGTTATTTGATTTAATGAGAATTGAGGAAACTAAATAAGATTGAATTATAGAATGGAATGAGAATAATATATCTATTAGGGAACTTGAATATAAAGCGCTGATATGTATACATATATGATAAATTATATGCTAAAGATCTATGGAATTATATGTTAAAGATCTATGGGGTTATATGAAAAGGTTATAAGGAATGTATGAAAATTGAATTAATTAAATGGATTAAAGTAGTATATAAATAAAATATGATTAAGTGTATATATATGTTTAGAAATACGACATTAGTTATATAATCTAAGGGAATATAAAGAAATAAAGCATAAAGTAGACGAAATGAGATAAGTTATTATATACCTATATGATATACGTTATCAGGTAATATGAAAGGATTCAGGAAACTTATATAAGCTATGTGAAAGTGATCTAGGTGTTTATATGTGAATTATTCGGTAATAAGTTATATGAAATAAGTGTAGTGATTACCAGATCATAAGAGATAAGTCAGAGAATGTGAATAATATGACCAGAAACTATGAGCCTGTGTGATGAATTGAATATATGAAGACATGACTATGAGATATGTGATAAGAAGTTATGATTAAATGATCAAGAGATATAAGCTAAGGGATATCTGTGAATTACATGAAAATGTTCTATGTGTAAGTGAACTACGTGATTACATGTATGTGTGAATAAAGCTACGAGCTTATATGAATATGTGATATGTTTACATGAATATGCGCAAGGATATAAAAGATAGTGCCCATGTTATGTGTCTTGAGAGCTTTGGGGTATAGTTGACATGCCAAGAGTCGAGGGTCTGTGCGGTCCTTCGGGACATATAGGTATCCTATGGAACATCTATGAGGTCCTTTGCAACACATATTTGGTCCTTAGCATATGTATATGATTCTTAAGGAATTTCCTATGCGGTCCTTCGGGATATATATATATATATATATATATATATATATATATATATATATATATTCTTTGGAACATGTGTGAAGTCTTGTGAGACACATACTTGATCCCTAGTATATGTATATGATTCTTAAGGAATGATATGTGGTCCTTATGGACATTATTATATGACACTATGGTGAAATTCTACGCGGCACTCCAGTGCAAGTCTACGTGGCACTTCGGTGCAATTATACGAGCTGTTATGACAGCATTAGTGCACAACCTCTATAGACTCACATACCTATAGTTCTCACATACGTCCATGGGCTAATCAGGAGATAATAACAAATATATGTTTGTGATATGATAAATGTTGTGTGTGTGTATATTGTTTGATTAAGGGGTTAAGTATAAAAGTATGTGATTAAAAGATAAACTGTTGATGATGCTTTATGTGTATGTAGGTATATTTTGTTAAGTAATCTGATATGATTTTGTATGCTATAATGAAATAAGGTGATTTAGTATAGCATGATAGAATGAAACATGCATGCATTGTTAAATGTTATCAAGTGCATTATAATTTTTATTTGCCTCACTAAGTCATCGACTTAGCGTGTGAGTGTTTCACACGTAGGTTTCAGAAAGCTAGAAGAAAAGCTAAGAGAGCAAGACAGGCCAGCATCTCCCTTACAAATTTCAGATAAGAAAATAGATGATTTAAATGATTTTTGGTTATACTTGAATATAATTGGCATGTACTAAAGAATTGAGTTAATATGCTCTGATTAATTTTAGTTATTGTGGTCAAGTTATGTAAATAAATTGTTTTTACTTTAATTAAAGCTTTAAATATTCTTTGAATTTTGTCAAGAGTCAAAGTTTGAAAAGTCAATATGACACCTCGAACTAGTATCCGGGTCGGGTATGGGTTGGGGTGTTATAATATTACAAGTTGATTAAAGGGAAACGAGCTTGAGAATTATTAATTCATAGGACAATCAAATAGGTTTGATATGTGAAGAAATATTAGTAAAGATAATAGCACATGAATTCAAAAGATTAAGGAATAAGATGAACCCGTTTATTAAAGTTTTGTTTCCCTTAGTAAAGCATAAGATCGAGGAAGTTTGTGAAAGAGAAGAGAATATAAGAATGTAGTTTCCTTATTGTTCTAATCTGGTATGTTTTGAAAATTCAAGGACAAATTTTCTTTAAGGGGTAGAATTGTAATACCCCAAATTTTGGCTAGTGACAAAATGTACGTTTTGAAAGTGTGGTGACTAAAGTATAAATTTGAAAAAGTTTAAGGACCAAAAATGTAATTTATAAAAGTTATATATTTTGGCCCGTAACTAAATATTTACTCTGAAATTAATATTTTCGTGGGAATCATAATTTTGATTCAGATTTGTATTAAAAATTATAAAGCACTAAAGTATGATAAGAATTCGGATAATTAATTATATATTTGTACAAGACCCTCTTTCTTGTTCATTTGTGCATATGTGCAGTCAAGATTAATACTCTTTTGCCAATTCTTGAATGGATGATGGAGTTTTATTTTTGGATTCACTGATATTTATCAATCTTCGTTGGTTAGAGGATAGTTTGTAGGGTGTTCTTCGTCAAGTCCTGCTTCGAACTCTTCTGGTACTACTGGTTGTGATAGAGATTTTCTGATCTAAACTGCTGTCAACATAGATTTTCTGGAAGTTGAATGTGTTATTATCAGCTATTCAGCTTATTGATGTGTGTTACTATCAGTGTAATCTGGTTCCTGTCCTCAATTATTGCTGCAAACTGGTGAGTGCTGGTCGTTTTGATCGGAATTGTTAGTTTTGTTCATCTAGAATTCTAAGCAAAATCAATGAAGAAGAAAAAAGCTTCTTTCCAGTACACTGCCAAAATAGCAGATGTATGCCACTGATCGGTTGTTCAAGGCAAGGAAAATGCATAGAAACTGATCAAGAAGAAATAGTAGTAGAAGAACAAAGAAAGCTGAAATAAGCTTCTTTCCAATACACTACCAAAATAGCAGATGTACATAACTGATCGGTTGGTCAAGAAAAGAAAATGCATAGATATTGATCAAGAAGTAGAAGATGAAGAAGAAAGAAAGAAATCTGAAGAAAACTTCTTTCCGGTACTCTGTCAAAACTCCATATGTACATAAAGTCATTAGTTGATCAGTTGTTCAAGGAAAGGAAGAAGCGAGACATTGATCAAGCCAGTAGCAGCTTTTTAGAAGCTGAAAATAAGAAGGATGGGAAAGAATAAAGAAGAGCAAGGAAAGATAAAGGGTGCAGTGGAGAAGATGAATGAGGAAGATGAAGAAGAAAATGTTTGCATTTTTGGTCTTCGTTTAGTTCTGGGTATCAGCTCATTAGCTGACAGCAGAGTGCTGAATGATCATAAGTTTGCTTGATCATTTTGCTTCTGTTAAATTGTTAGGTTGTTCGCCTATTATTAGTCTGGGTTTGGGCTATAAATACCCAATATCATTGTAACCCAAAAGGGAGATAATCCATATTGAATAAAGAAACTGATATTCTGTTTTCTTGTATCACCGTTCACCGGTGCTTCTCCGGCAAATCCATAGGCTTAGTCTTTTCATCTATTTCTATGTTGACCATTCTATAGGGAAAGACTGTTTTGCATGTTCAAATTTATATCCATTGTACAATTTATAATTTTGCTAACTCTTCTGATTTTAGGACTAAATTTCGAATCTGTATTCGTGATGCTTTTTTATGTAGGAAAAAAGTTTGGATTTTCAAATGGCTTCAGCAAAAAACAAGGAAATTTTGAGAAGTGTTTTACGATGCAAACAAACCCATAGGTCCATTCTTTGTTAACTTAGAATGAGAGTCAAGTCATTTGAAACTTGTTACCAATCCTAATGCCGAAGAGATTACACAACTCTCACTACAAAAAGGCTCCTATCATGTTCCCTTATTTCTTTTGTTATTTAACATTCTTTAATATTTTTATATAATGTCTTTTTTGGGTACAATTTATATAATGTTAAGAATATTTAGATTACTACCCACCTTTAATTAAAATATATTGAAATCTTAATTATTTTTGATTTTATGTTCTTTTATATGTTATACCAATAACGATGACAATCTATATTTAATTGTTTGATGTTTAGTTATTTCAATGATTGTGAAAAATATGTTTCATTCACCATTACTTATATTTAAAATATCTAATTATTTTCTAAACAAATACTATTTTATAATCACTCTAAATTATTTAAAATATATATTTAATTATTTAGAAATTTTATAATTTTCAAATTTATTGGTCTTTTCATAAAAAAATATTCTCAAGTAACTTCTTTATATGATCCATTCACTTAATTCCCAAAAGAAAGGTTTATTGGTGATTGAAGTTTGGAAAATCTCAGAAGTAGAAATTTATTTCACTCACACAACATAACTTGCTTATTCTCTCAGCACATAATATAAAACTCTATGTAGTTTAGAGTTTTATATTGACAAGAGCACTCTTGATAACTGGGAAAGTAGACACAAAATATCACACAGTACAATACAAGGTAGACTTCTGATCCACAAATAGATCAATATGCAGCAGCACAGCACTACTTGCTTAAGCATCCAAATGAATCATGCATCTCAGACCTATGCCTTGCAGCATGTAGTCGAAAGCCTTGTTGATGTCGGCAAAAGGGACAGAGTGAGTGATGAACTTGTCCATATCCAGCCCCAGCTCCTGCAACAACATCAACAAAATCATCATCACCAAGTAATTAAAAATGCAGAACTTATTAAGGTATGATTAAAATCTCATCACCTTGTTCAAGTATTTGTCGACAACCATGGGAATATCAGTGCGCGGTTTGTAGTTGCCGTAGAAAGCACCCTTGAGGGTCCTCTCACTCAGTAGATTCATTGGATGGGTCTTGAATGCATCGTCTTTCTTCGGCACACCAACAAGCACACAAACACCCCAACCCTGAAATCGAAGAACAAGCATATGTATGTGTCTATATAAATTTTGAGCTAAAAGTGACTATAAATGCAACAGCTAAGTACATCATGGACGCATTCGAATGCCGAAATCATGGCCTGGACGCTCCCAGTACACTCGACACTGCGATCCACTCCTCCGCCGGTCATCTCAACGATCACCTGATTATTGGCAGTAAACTATGTTATTCTCTGTAGCACAAAATTGTCTCTATTATCCAAATTGCACGTTGAAAACAAAACAACCTCTTGAACAGGCTTGTCGTAGTCTTTTGGATTCACAAATTCTGTAATCCCAAACCTCTTAGCTGGAATCAAGAAAAAGAAGAAATATAAGCAAATTATATTAGTAATTTTACTCAAACCAGGGAACCCCATCAGTTAAACAGATGATGCTATGCTACCTTCTTCGAATCTTCTCGGATTCAGATCGACAGCGATGATTCGAGATGCCCCACAAATCCTTGCACCTTCAGCAGCCTAATTCATAGTGTATGTAAAAGAATCAAAGTCAATCCAACACATACACCAAATAGAAGAAATAATAATAACTCACAGCAAGGCCAACAGCACCCAGTCCGAAAATTGCAACAGTTTGACCCTTTTTGGGTTTAGCAACATTGACAGTGGCCCCAAAACCAGTACATATTCCGCAGCTAATAGGGCAGACTTTGTCGAGCGGGGCGGTGGGATTGATCTTAGCAACCTGGCCAACATGGACTACAGTATATTGGCTAAAAGTAGAGGTTCCAACGAAGTGGTAGATTGGCTTGCCGTTGATGGAAAATCGGGTCTTGCCGTCTGCGAGCATAACACCTCGGTCGCAGTTAATACGAAGGAGATCGCACATGTTATTGCTTTCTTCGGACAGGCAGTGGCGACATTGCTTGCACTCTCCGGTGAAGATAGGGAGCACATGATCTCCCGGTTTCACGTCGGTCACGCCCTCACCTACACTCTCCACGATCCTAAGCAGTCAAGTTCACACGAATCAGGTTTATATTTCATGTATGATCGGTATATAGAATCTAAACCTTCAAATTTAATACATGATTTATAAAAATGTAATTTATAGATTATATAAAGAAGGGTAAGCTTTCATACCCTGAGGCCTCATGACCAAGTATGCGAGGAAACAGAGGAGTGTAACCCTACCAAATCGAAGAACAACACATTAGTTTAATTACCGCTTATACAGATATATCTCAGTCCAATACGAAGTACAAGCATTTTTCAATAAAAAATGAACAGTTCTTTCACAAATTATTTAATATTTGTTTGGAGAGTCAACTTAAAATTAAATTTGAGTTTAATTATATAATTATATCATGTTTGAACAATCATTATGATTTAAGATCTTGTCAATTTCCTTTATATTCTTCAATTTCCTTTATTATTATTAGAATTTTAAATAAACATCAATAACTTGTGTTCATAATTTAATTTTTTATAACATCAACTTTTGTATATTATGTTTTAATTTTTGTTTATTTTTTGATTGAGTTTAGTTTGATTGACATTATCATTTGTACAATATACATGACATGAAGAATTAAGATGTAATTATAATATGTTTATTAAATATATCTTCATAATTAAAATTTGTAGTAATTATGTGAAAGAATGACACTAAGATAATAACTATATTTTCATACAACCATATTATATTATTTAAATATAATCTTAATTAATAAAAAGATATTTGCTACCAAGTAATAGTAGAATTAATTCATTAAATATGATTAAGTAACGATACCAATATACTATAATTATTGTTACTTTGGAATTTGATTTTTTTCTTCGTTTGATAATATTTACTGCAAACTGCAATAATATTCATTGTATGTAGAATCAAAATGAATAATAAGTAGAAATGGAAGAAATAAGACAGACCTTGCACTCCCAGTAGTAGACATCAGTGTGACATAAAGCAGTGAAGAGAATCTTAATACGGACTTCATCCTTTTGGGGTGGTGCCACTTCCACTTCTTCTATCGACAGTGGCTTCCCAGCCTCCCATGCTACCGCAGCTACATTCAATATTTTTACATTTCATTTTTCACTTTAAGTTTTTAATTCATTTCAATATAAACCCATCAAACATCAAACCATCTTAGTGATTAGTAGGAGTATTGTTTTTCCTAGAAATCTAGAATTCGAGCAATAAGAGAAAATAAGACGCGTTGTATTGCATTCTTGAAAAACAATTTTCAATTCAAATTTTAAAAATTGTATTATTGAAAGAGAAAATAAAAATAGAGAAATCACAACACGAATATAAAAATAACAATATTAACTTAATTAAAACTCAATTCACAAAGAAAACAAGGAATCAATTGTAATTGTTTGGGGGTAAGGGAGAGAGAGGAGATATGATGAAGCTGATCATCACCTTTGCAACGGATAACCTGACCAGCAGTGCTCATTGTCTACGAGTTTCAAATACTGAAAAGAAAATTTTCTTCCGATTACCAGTGTGGCAAGAAAGCAGCTTCAAATGGCTCCTATTTATAGTAAAAATATATCACTCTTGACCCCACAAGAAATAATTATTGAATGTATGAGGGAATGTCCACATGGCTTCTTCGCATTTTAGTGGTCCAAGAGATTTCTTCTCCAGTTCTAACCATATATATCAATATAATTGAATTGATATTGGTAGATATCATGAGAACTAAATATGAACTAACTAAACATAAGATAAAATGAATAAAAAAACAAGCACACATCAACATAGGATAGAATAAATAAAAACTATTAATTACTATTTTAATTCTCAATTCCATATTTTAAATAATAATTTATTAATTTAATTTTCACTTTGGACACAATTAAATAATAATCCAAACCAATTAACTTAATTTGTGAATCATTTATTCAATTACAAAGAAATTTTTATTATTTAAACGAGTATTTTTTTCTTTAATTTATTTTTCATCTATAATTTATCTAATATCTGGTTATTTTAACATGCATATAATTTATCCAAACCTTTTATTTTTCATCTCTAATTTATTATTTGAACTCGTATGATATGAGCTAAAATAATATAATTAAGTTTCAAATCTTCTTCTTCTTCTTTCTTTTGACACGTTTCAATTATTTTTATCGGTCATTTGCACATTTTTATGTTTATCTCTTTTTCAGGCTTTAATTCAAAATCGCTACGATTGATCAAGCTGATATTTATTTGTTATTTTAGTGACCTCCACTGCTTTGGACCTTCGGATTGTATTTGGATACACAGTTACGTTCGTGGATAGTTTTCTCACGTCGCTCAACTCTGATTTGTGATTTGTCAGTGGTCTTTCAATATCTTAATTTCATTTCATGGTTCGTTTGTCGATATAGTCATATATGTTTGTATCTTTTGTTAGAGTTATTTGGTTGAGTTTTAATCTTTACCTTCTGTTGTCGTTGTATAATTTTAAGTAACTAGTTTCTTGTAAGGTTATAAAATATATTTTAATTATATATTTAATTTACGATTATGATCGTAAATTTTATTATTTCTAGATATATTTTTTAATAAAATTAGCCACTTATAATTAAAAATAAGGTTAAAGTTACTGTGGCTGTCCAAATTATTTTCCTTTTCTTCCATTTTATTTTTTTATCAGACTAGTAACACATTTTGCATTAACTTTTTTTTGACAAAGGTTGGATAACTTTCTATACGATTGGATTTGTTGGATTACAGCACTTGTTTATCTCCAAGGCAGTTTTTTCACCTCCAAAAAAGAAATAACAAATGTTTTCAATTTGGTGTGGAATTGAATTCTTCTAAAGATATATATTAGTCAGTTGCATTTAATAATATACTCGTCCTCGTCAAGCACATAAAGTATTAGGAGACAAATGTTTTTAAATTAAAATGTTTTTATCAAACATTAACGATGATCAATATTTTAAAATAAAATATAACAATAAATTAAAATTATTTGTGAAAAATTGATTACTGTTATTAAGGGCGAGTAAAACTCGACTTGACTCAAAAAGTTATTTTTTCAACTCGGCTTGAATAGAAAAAACTTGACTCAAATAAAATTTAAGCTTTAATTTCATAAACTCAACTTGAGAAAATTCAAAGTTCAAATCGAGTTGTCAAATACAACTCAAATAGTAACTCGAATAACTTAAAATATTTAATAATTAGTGAATTGTTTTTAAGTTTGAGTCGACGTCCTCCACTATATATGATATATGTACCTTACATATGAAAACTTAAAAAGCAATATTATAAATATGTAAATTGATTTTCATATGTAATGTACTATATCTATATAAATATTTATAATTAAATTTAAATAGAAACTCAAAAATTCAACTCGGCTCAACTTGACTTAACTCGAAAAAATTTTCAATCAATTTCGAATTATAAAATAGAACTGTTTAACTCAAATAACTCAAAAAATTTTATGTCAATTTGACTCGATTAGACACTCATCTCTAATTGTCGCGCGAAAAACCATTAAATAATTGGTAGATATTTCTTTGTTTTGGATAATACATATCTAAATCATTTACCTTAAAAAAACAATTTACATTGTACACGACACTTGGAAGAAAAAAATTAAAGCTTGATCTATTATCTTAGTACCCCTCCCCTAAATAATATCATTGGCCCTTGTAAAGCATAACTACAGACAATGTTATGTTGATATGAGACACTTGCTCCTTTCTCTCATAGCAGCATGATTTAATTATAATTATTTCATAAGATATAAATTATATATTACTAATAAATAATAAAATGTAAAAAATATTACTTTATAGAATTAACTATTGTGGACAAATATGTTTATAATTTATTGTACTAAGTATCTAACTTAGACATAAAAGGAAAAAGTTAACTAACACTAGATAACTACTAGAGTTTCTATAATTTGATTTTTAAGGAGTATATATTTTATTATATATAATATATCAAATATAAATCATTAATTTAAAGGTCCAAGTGTGCTAAATTATTGTACTAACCAAGGAAAAAAGATGCCTCAACATGAATCATAGAAGACGTGGAAATAAGGATGGTAGGCCAGATGTCAAATGTGATTATTTTGGCAGCTTATTGATTGTTTTATCTATTCTATTATTTTCTTTCTATGCTTATTACTTTAAAAAACACCGAGAAAATTATTTTTTAACAGTACCCTAAACCAAATTTATTAAAAATATTTCTAAATTGTACACGTAAGATTGTCACGAGTCTTAAGAAAAGCGAGTGAAGGCCTCGTGTTATACAAAGCGTGAGGTTTATTTGTTAAAACTAAATCATAATTAATTAGAATCTAATCATGTCAACCATTAAGAATAAATATTAGATTTGCAGAAACATACCTGAATTAATTGATAGGTTGAAATATTCAAGTCTTTCTTTATCTGTGATCTTCCAAGAAGATAGGGTTTCTCTTGCCGTAAAAACTCTTTGACGGGATAAGAGTAATACAAGTTAACCTATTTTTTTGGGACCACTACCTCTTATATAGATTGAATATTAGGTCAATCTTTTAAGTATTTAAAATTTTGCCCTCATCAAATTATAAATACAACTTATGGTATCTACACTTTGATTCCATGACACTTTAATACATATAACACATGTAATATAATTAGTCACTTACTTTTGTGTCATACTTCAAGATAACATTGTACTTATACATATGTGCCCAAAAATATGGATTTTAATCCAACATTATTCAAACTGGACAAACTTTTCAAAGAATGCAATTTAATATTTAAATTAACGACCTCGCGTTATGCAGAATGCGAGGTTCCCAAGATATTCAAACGTCCAGAGAAATTTATTACTAGTGGTATTTCGCATACCTCGTGTTATACAAAATGCGAGGTATGTAGTTTCCAGCCCAAATCGCAAGTGCTTATATGCATGTTTGAGGAGTATTTTCGGGTATTTAATCTCAAAATTTTCATAATTTATAAGATTAGAGGCATAACATACAAATTTATCTTTCAACTGAAGTCAATATCGAGACATACGAAATATTGTAAGCAGGTTAAAAATCGCGTTGATGGTTTCAAAGCTTGTTTTGTGCATTAAGAAAATGTTAAAATGGGTTGATAGGCATATTCAAGGAGCTTTTTCGGTAATAAATCTCAAGAATTTCATAATTTATAAGATTAGGCGTAGTATTGTAACTTATCTTACAATTGAGAGTAATATCGACACATACGAGACATGTAAATGGGGTAAAAATTGCGTCAAATGGTTCCAAAGCTTGGATTTCTATACGAAGAAGATGCTAACATGACTCAATAGGCATGTTCAGGGAGTATTTTTGGGAAGTTAGTTAGGAATTTTCTTCATTTATAAGATTAGAGGGTAGTTGATACTTATGTTTTAATTGAGGCTAGTATCGACACATAGGAGATATTCTATGCGGTGTAAAAATCGCATTCAAAATGGTTCGAAACAATTTTTTTTGAAATTAATGAATATATTTTATTAATTAAAAAAGTAGTACATAATTCTGGCTTTACAGTTCTTTCTCTGTGTTCGACTAAATCCTCGTCTTAGAATTAAAAACACAAAATAACATAACAAAATATAATACCCAAAATTAAAATAACATAAATTTTAATATTAGAAAATAAAATTCCATAATTATGGTACATAAATTGAAAACGAAGTAATATTTTATGCTATGTTTGATCTTAGTTTGATGGAACGAGAAGTTTCTCGAATTTCATGTACAAGGGAAATCATGGGTTATTGGATGGAGGATGCCACCGGAAGAGGATGCCTTTTTAGAAACAATAATTTTCTCGAGAATGTCAGGTTATTTGTGTTGAAGAAGGTTCATGAAACCGACGAGTTGATGGAGTGAATCGGGCATAAAATGGAATTCAGAGACCATGCCCACGATTACAACAACAACCTCGTCCCTCTGATAACTTGTTTTTTCAGATCTACGAATGGTTTAATGGAAGAAGATATGCATCCAAAAGAGGATGCCTTTTGAGAAACAATAAGTTTCTCGAGAATTTCAGGTTACTTATGTTGAAGAAGGTTGAAGAATTACCAACGAATTTGATGGAAGTGAATCAGACACTCCAATTACATTTTATTTGGATGGACGACTGGTTTGAGGATGCCACTAGAAGAGGATGCCTTTTAAGGGTGTTATTAAATGAAAATCTACCATGTCCATGTGAAAGCCGATTTGATGAAATAAGAATTTCTCGATAAGGTCATGTTTGACCGAAGAAATGTGACAGATTTACCCGTGAATTTCAAAAGGCGACGTCTTATAAAAGAGATTCTCTTCAGATGGCATAACTTATAGCACCAATATTGGATAATGATCTCTAAGTTTCGTGGCAAGTCATGCCACAAGAAGAGGAGCCCCTTATAAGTAGAGACCCCATGTTATAATTATGATTCCACAAGAGGATGCATTATATAGAGATGACCCCGCGTCCTGTAAAAGTGTTTTCTTTTGAATTGACACCTTGCGTTTTATATATACGAGAT